ATAGTTTATCATATATGTGAAAGCAGAGCAAATGTATCCGACTTCCAAGGAACTGGAGGACTTGGGGAAGTCTTTAGGGTTAACAGTGAAGGAGGTACGTGGATGGTTCAAGAGAAGACGTAGTAGAAGCAAAGGCGGGAAATCTCTGGCGAATCTTGGGGTGGGAGAAAAGAATCATCAGTCCTACAGTGGATCTTGCATGAGGAGTTCCACATCTTCCAGCTGCAGTTTTGGAGCAGCTGCTGAGAAAAGGTGTAGTGTAGGGAGAAGGAAGGCCAATCATCAAGTGTCGTTGACTTCACAACACATTTTGGCTAAGATTTTTCGAAAAGATGGTCCAGTGCTCGGTTCTGAATTTGACCATCTCCCGTCTGGAGCACGTAAAGGTATGTTTAACATTTTGGCGTCATTGCAAGACAAGGCCTATACGTCCCTTGGATTTCTGGAAATTGACTGTTAACACCAAAGCTTTATACTGTGCCAAAGAAACTTGTGCTTTCATATTAATGAGAATATTCCTGACTGGATAATTGGGCTCCGGATGAGTAATGGCTTAATTTATGCTTGACTTAAAGAGAGTATAGTATAGTTATGTTGATTCTTACCTGGACTTCTTTCCCTTTTGCTAGCTTCTTGGCTGGCTTCTTCATCTATTGATCAGCAGAAACAGAGAGTGGCAAAAAAGAGAAAGGTAGTTGAAAGATCTTATTTCTTGTTTCATAAGGCATTGACCTTGGGATACGCTATGTTACTTAGTCTCTGATCTTAATCTGCTTTTAGATTTCCGAGCTGATGGATCATACCAGTCAGAATTGCGTTGAAGAGAATGCTACAGTGAGGAAGCATGGTATTGGCAAGGGTATGATGACAGTATGGCGGGTAATGAATCCAGATGGCAGGGATGCATCTCCTCGCGTTGATTTATTGGATGAAAGAGTAACATTATCTCAAATCTCAGCTCGTAGGCCCCGGCATCAAAAGAAAAAGCAAAGACAATTAGCATCGATACTGGTGATTTTGACCTATCTTATCTTCTACTTCATAGTTATGGTTCCTTCTCTTTAAGTTTCCATTTAAGTTTTATAGCTAACTGCAATTTGCTTTCTTCAGAAGCAGAAACTGTCGCAGAAGAAGTCAAGGGAAAATAAAAGGCATTCTATAAACAGAGAGGTAACTTGATCTTTATTTGGAAACTTGTATTTCGATATAGGCACATGCAAATGGAGATTTGACTCTTGCTGCAGATGGAATTGAACAAAGACGAAACTCAAAAGGAGTTCAAAGAAAAATGTGAGCTTGCCGTGGATGGGGAGGTATTTAATGAAACCTGCAAAAGAATTTCAGTACTAGTAGATGACGAGGAATTGGAGATGCGTGAGCGACAGGAGGGATCAAATGTGTTGACATGTTCATGTCATCTTCCTAGTAGTGGATCTCACGGTTGTTTTCTTTGCAAAGGTCTGTATGTCAACTATCTTGGTTCAGTATCCTGAAAGACTTTTGTTCAAATATTTTGTTACAGGACTAGTGCATGGGTTTTTCTGATAGTTTTTTTGCTGTTTCCAGATTTATTGCCTAAGTTTCCCCCAAATTCTGTCAAGATGAAGATGCCCTTTGGTTTGCATCCATGGAATTCTTCTCCAGAGACTGTGAAGAAACTGTTTAAGGTGTGAAAACTATCAAAGTTGGCACGTGGTGATTTCTTAAATTACCTCTCTCTGCCCAAGTTTGTTGGAAGTGACCTAGTACTTTTCTTGGCAGGTTGTCCATTTCCTTTATACCTATTCAGTAACTCTTGATATATGTCCCTTCACACTTGACGAGTTCACACGGGCATTTCATGATAAGGTGGTCTCTTTTCTTTGATAACAAATGCTCAATTTAGTTGCATTTTCTTTTGTTGCGGAAGGGAATTGTTTCTTGTATCCCATATTTCTCACTTTCACTTTCTCTTTCCAAAAATTAATGTGCTTGTCCTCTTTCCATGCTTGCATTTGAACCTCAGGATTCTTTGCTCCTTGGTAAAATTCATCTTTCCCTGCTGAAGTTGCTTCTGCTTGATGTTGAAACCGAGATGCAAAGGGGATCGTTTTCAAACTTGAGTATATCATGCAAGTTTCTGGCCTTGCTTCAGTCGGTAGGCACTAATGTTGAGCTATTTTTGATCTTACAGCACTCTTTTATGAGTTCTAGGTTCAACTATAGATGTTATTTATGGTAAATTTTCCTGTCTTCATGGCCTGTCCTTTAGTGTGCTCTTTCTAGGATTTTTTTTTTTTAAAAAGGTGATAAGAGAGTAGCATTGCAGGACAGGTTCTAACGTTGCTCCATTATATTTTTCAGGTTGAAAGCCAAATTCTTATTCTTGATCTGTGGAAGGATTCATTAAATTCTCTTACATGGACAGAAGTATTGCGTCAGATATTGGTCGCAGCTGGTTTTGGTTCAGTGAAGTGTGCTGTTCAATCAGAAGAATTGAGCAAGGTGCTGATTTTTTATTCTTGTTGACACTTTTGATCCATTGAAACATTATCAGTTGACTTTAGCTGCTTGGTTATATTTTATCTGAGACCACGATAGTTCTCTTGCCCTTTTCTTTCGTCATGGAGCTCAAAACTAGCATTTTTTGTTTTGTTCATGAAGGTGAATTAGTTACATGGTGGGACATTGAAGGCTCTTGCTCAATTTTATTGTTATTGATGTCCATTATTGTTGTTTAGTGACTTATTTATAATCTGATGCATTTTGGGGTTGACGGCATCTTTGTTCTTCTTATAGGAAAAGAAACTCATGAAAAAATATGGCCTTCGTCTTGGAACGTTAAAGGGTGAACTATTTAGAATGCTTTATGAGCAAGGCAATAATGGCTTGAAAATATCCGACTTAGCCAATGCTGCACAGGTAAGGTTCTTCTGAGAAGACTATTAACTTTATTTGTAAATAAAGATAAATTTGGACTAAATTGATAGGTTGATACTTGTTACTGTTCTGTTGCTTTCTGAAATTTCTAGATGATATCTAATGAATAGGCTCATGGCATGTGATTTTGTGGATGAGTTCATAATGGTCGGCATTTGTAGGTTGCTGTGCAGAATCTTGCAACTGCATCAGAGGAACTAGAGCGTTCAATATGTTCAACTCTGGCAAGTGATATTACTTTATTCGAAAAGATATCGGAATCAAGATATCGTTTACGTGTTAATTGTTTCTCTGAGGATCCTGACCAGAGCCAGTCTGATTCAGACGAGTCTGGGAGTGTTGAAGATGAATCTGATGATTGCTCATCTAGTTCTGGTGATGATATTGAGTGTGTTTCAGAAAATCTTGCTCGTCGCAAACTTAAGTGTAGGAAAAGTCGGAAGCAGAAAAGTAAAACGCTGGATGTATGTAGTGAGATTGATGAAAGCCATCCCGGAGAGCCATGGCTGTTAGGGTTAATGGAAGGGGAATATTCAAACCTAAGTATCGATGAGAAGTTAGATCTTTTTGTGGCTTTGATTGATCTTCTTAGTTCTGGTTCCACTATCAGAAAAGAGGTAATTCCCATTCTATGATTCTATCTATGCTGAATATCCTGTTGTACTTCTTTTTGGCAGTAAATGTCGCAAGTTTTTAGTTACAGCTATATATTCTTGGTGTGTTGTGCTAAATTTGATCTTGCACCACAGGATCTCCCGAGAGCTATGGTTGACTGTGTCCCCAGTATCTATAGTCATGGTTCTGGGGGTAAAATTAAGAGATCCTCCTCTAATCAGTACAGCTATCCACGCGTATCATGGGTCCATGGAGGAGAACTTCGTGGAACTAAAGAGCTATCTAAATCGCCTGATTCTTGTCCAGTGGATTCTTCATCAATTGCGGGGGCCTTTGCAAAACTGGCTGGAGATAAAGCTAATAATGTTCACCCTATGCAATCTGTATACCTTGGTTCTGATCGTAGGTTCAACAGGTACTGGCTTTTCTTAGGACCATGCAATTCGAATGACCCTGGTCATAGGTGTGTGTTCTTTGAATCTTCTGAAGATGGTCACTGGGAAATCATCAACAATGAGGAGGTAACGTCATTGTGCTTTTCCTAAAATCTTAATCACTTACTAGTCAATGGTTAAATGAAATGAAAGGTTGTATGACTCTATCCTCCACTTTTTCCTCTTTTAAATTGGTGTAGGCTTTGCGGGCGCTGTTGTCACTTTTGGATGATAGGGGCTCAAGGGAAGCTTTTCTTATCGAGTCACTGGAGAAACGGGAAACGTTTCTTTGTCAAGCCATGTTGAGTTGGCAGGTCGCCCAGTCGGAGACAGCCCATTTCACAGATATAGTCACAGAAGACAGTTCGTCACCGGTTTCTGACATAGACAACAATCTGTGTCAGAGTGAGATTGCCAATGATCAATTCTCCTCACAACATGCGGTGATAGTATTTGACATTGGTAGTAAGCGAGAGAAAAGCCTATTGTGGAGCCGTCTTCAGGAGTTTGATGAATGGACATGGGCTAATTTTTATTTGAATCTGAATGCTGTTAAGCACAGCCGGAGATCCTACCTTGATTCACTTACTAGGTGTAAGAGTTGTCATGATTTGTATTGGAGAGATGAGAAGCACTGTAAGATTTGTCATGCCACTTTTGAGCTTGATATTGATCTTGAAGAAAGATACGCGATTCATGCGGCAACATGCAGGAAGAAAGAAGAGAATGATACATTTCCAGATCATAAAGTTCTATCTTCGCAGTTGCAATCACTTAAGGCGGCAGTGTATGCCATTGAGGTCTGTCAGTAGTTATTTGCTTAAACTTTTTATGCGTGCTTTGGTTTTCTTACTTGGTTTTGTACTAAGGATGGCCTCCATTTTTTGCTTGTGTTGTAACATTTTTGCAGTCTGCTATGCCTGAAGATGCGTTGATTGGTGCATGGAAAAAGTCAGCCCATAAGTTATGGGCGAAAAGACTTCGGCGAAGCTCAACTTTGTCTGAGATTACGCAGGTTTCAATCTATTATACAAGCTCCCTTTTTTTTGTGGTACCTTTTTTGATTTCAGATTGATTGTTCTCTAAGTGCATCTGTATAATAAAACATGATCTGCAATCTGCGAAGGTGATTGGCGACTTTGTCGGGGGAATAAATGGAGATTGGTTATGGCACATTGAAGAAGGGCACTCTAATGGTGTAATGAAAGAAATTATAACTTGCTTCCCTTCGATGCCTCAAACAACGTCTGCGATTGCGCTCTGGCTGGTAAAACTGGATACCTTGATTGCTCCCTATGTGGAAAAAGCTCAACCCGAGAAAAATCAAGTGTGCAGAACCAGAAACACAAGTATGATATACAACTAAAGTTTCAAGATTGACCACTTTCTGATTTTGAGTTTCTTACTTGTGTGGATTACTTGATTCCAGGAACACGAGGGTCTAAGCAGTCGTAGTTGTATGTCTCATATGGACATAACGGAAGGCGATAGATAGGAGAGGATTGTATAGAGGAGATGTCTTTTTTTTTGTCCTGCATTATCCGAAAAGGCATTGGAAAATTCTACAGTCTAAGTAACTTTAGAAAACATGTACAGACATTTTAGGAAATAGCAGGATCACATTCAGTTTTTTGTTGCAAAAATGTTCAATCTCCTTTTGTTTCTCTTTGTATGGGTTTTTTATGTTCTGGTGATCCATCTTTCGGGTATATTTTCATCTGTGTCAACATACGCTCCGTTCTTAACGATCAATGATAGTGATTAAATTTTGTTTGTTCGTAGTTAACGATCAATAAATATGTTCTCAGTCATTAAAAGTTTGGGAAAACGACAGAGAGATTTGATAATTAAAGGACACTTTTGCAAATAACAAAAATATATATAGTTTGCAGATTTTCGTTGCAACGGTTCCATTTTTATAAGATAGAGGACTCGTCTATTCATCCCTAATTATTACCGGTCATAAAAATTTTAGGAAAAATTTAAATGATTTTTTTTTTTTGGGTAAACAATTTAAATGATTATTGACCGTTAGTTACATTTTCCTTATAAATAGAGAGACCATAATGCTTTCTCTCTCTAAGAAAAAAAAAACATTCATAACAGTTTCTTTCTCTCTAAGTAACCGAGTTAACTCGGCTATGAAGAAGAAATCTTCTTCGTGTCGTCGCAGCGACGAC